CCCCCCTTTCCAAATATCAGAAATATTCTATACAGTGACCACAAAGCACAGCTGATAAAAACCATATCAACAGACCCAATGGCGACAACTCCGACGGTCGCTGGATCAGAAAAGCAAAGTATGCAGCATGGGAAAGCTTTTCATTTTCGTTTTAGTAAGAGTTTTATATGGCACTTGCAACACAATTAGGTCGTATAAGTGCCGAAGATTAGAGGTGTTACCAGAGAGTAACAAACACAAAAAAAGAAGGGGAGATAAAGACAATAGACGTTTGATAGGAAAGAAGAAGCAAACCACACCAGAGCGCCCGTCAACCACCCACAAGGTTTCAACAGCTCAGTGTGTTAGACTCGGTCATGGGTACGTCACTTTCCAAAAAGGCGTATGGTGGAAGTTTACACTGAGCAATTGATTTTTACATTTTCATGTCAGGTTTCCATGTCCTAGTCCCATATCTTGATGAGATTCCCTCTTCCTCTTTTGACTTCTACCTTCGCTCCTATAAAGTTTTTCGGGTGAACCATGGGATTTGATATACACGTGTCCACAGCAGCTCAGTTTTGGTAGAACGCAGTGGGTTTCCACAAATCATCTGCATCACAGTAAGAACGCCATTACCACCAATAACAACAACAGCACCATCATGCATGAGCAGCAACAATAACAACAGCAACAGCATCATCATCATCATTAACAACAACACAATCACAAACAACAACAGCACTATCACAAACGACAACAACCCCACCATTACAAACTACAACAACAACACCACCATCAACAACAACAATAGCAACACAACAACAACACCACCACCACCAATAACAAAATAACCACAAATATCTCACCTCATCGGTAGCAATGCTCATCTTGTCCTCCACATCAGCGAAGACAGTGGGCTGCACAAAGAATCCCTGGCTGCCCACCCGCTCCCCGCCAAAGACCAGCGTTGCCCCTTCCTCCTTGCCCCGCTTCATGTAGTGCAGAACTTTGTCAAACTGCTTCCTGTCCACCTGTGTGGAAGCACGTAAACAGAACAAAGGTCATTGAGTGCTGAGGAAAGGTCAAACACACCGACCGACAGACAGACCGACAGACAGACAGACCGACAGACAGACAGACAGACAGACAGACAGACCGATAGACAGACAGACTCAAAGACCAACAGACAGACTGACAGACAGACAGAAACAACAGAGTGAAAGTAAAGAAGAAGGACCTACTAGTGGCGCCCTCCAACCATCGGAGGATACAAAACTAAGAATTCTGAGAAGTACCACATTCCCTACCACAATCATCAATAAACAAGACAGAAAAAAAAAGGATTACAACTTTCAAAATAAGATGTAATACAGAAGTCTCCGCCTAAGATCCCGGTGCACGGGAGCAAGGAAATGCGGGATCTTAGGCAAACCGGGATGTTAACCGACGAATCCAGGGAAGAATCTATGGTGACCCATCTTAAGGCTCACAATCGGTAAAATGGTCTCCCTCCACTCTAAAATGAACTGACATGACCGCTGGGTGGGTTTATGACGTATGGCGAGCAAAGAGTGGTTAACCTTGATGACCTATCACAGGGCATAGTGGGATGAGGCGTGCCATTTTCACTTATTATCCTATCATGAGTCTCAAATTCTACGTTTATCCAGTTGCCCCTCCCCCAGGGTTGGTGATTTTTAAATTTTTTTGGGATAAAAATAAAAAATTAAATCAGATTTTTTAGATTTAAATCGGATTTTTTTTATTTTTTAAATTTTTTTAAAATGTCGACACAGTTTGGGATTTTTGGTGGCTAAAAGTATGTTCTTTTAGTGCAATATGCATTGTCTTTATTTTAAAACTAATGATTAATTTAAGCAACTGCAATTTTAGAAAGCCGTAATCTGCTATATCAGTTAATTATGGCTACAGACAAAAAATGAAGAAAATGTCAGTTTAAAAGGAAGGGGGGGGGGGGTAATTATGCATAGATAAACTTGCATTTTATTTTTATTACAGTGTGTGTGTGAGCACGCGCTTGTGTTTGTCTAAAAAGAAAAAGAAAATGCTAATTTCAATTATGAAAAAAAGTAAATTGAATACTGTATTATTTTACTACTTAAACTTACAGTGAAAGGGGGGAAAGCAGACTTTTAAGCATGATTATTTTAGTCTACTAAACCTTATATCTGTTTTATAAAACCAAGGAAAGCAATTCTGAATGTTTAAAGATGTAAAAACTGAAAACATTTTTTTAAAGTGATTTAAAGTTTTATTTTTAAAATCAAGTTGATTTAAATTTTTAAAAATCAACTGATTTAAATCGACCCAATTTAAATCAACCCAATTTAAATCAACCCAACCCTGGTTTTCAATTATGAAAAAAAATAAATTGAGAACTGTATTATTTTACAGTGACAGGGGGGAAGCAAACTTTTAAGCATGATTATATTAGTCTACTAAACCTTATATCCGTTTAAAATAAAACCAAGGAAAGGAATTCTGAAAGTTTAAATATGTAAAAGCTGAATACATTTTTTTGAAAAGTGATTTAAATCACTGATTTTTATTTTAAAAATCAAATTGATTAAAATTCTTTAAAAATCAACTGATTTAAATCAACCCAGCTCTGATTTCAATTATGGAAAAAAAGTAAATTGAATACTGTATTATTTTACAGTGAAAGGGGGGAAATCAGACTTTTAAGCATGATTATATTAGTCTACTGAACCTTATATCTGTTTTATGAAACCAAGGAAAGGAATTCTGAATGTTGAAATGTGTAAAAACCGAATAAAAATAATTTTTTAAAAAGTGATTTAAATCACTGATTTTTATTTTAAAAATCAAGTTGATTTAAATTTAAAAAATCAACTGATTTAAATCAGCCCTCCCCCTTACCTGTCGAAAATTTATAGCTTTCCAATTGTGACCGAGCCCCCCCCCCAGTCTGTCTCGCAAATTTGGGAGTAGAGACAACTTCTGCAATGGTCAGGGAAGAGTTCACAGTTCAATGTGATCCCACCTGGAGCGAACGTGTAGGCCCTACCCACCCAGCGAGTGATGTAAGTTTAGGGGGAGAGCTCAGGTGTGAGTGGGATGTTCGGGGAAAACAAACGTGTCGGTCAGTTCACACCCCGGTGTGATCCCGTCTGGGGCAAACATTGTATCGCTTCATCGAGTTTTACAACGTGTATGTGATCACATTCACGATAGTGGCTGATCTTTGACACGACGGACAGTTTATTGATCTCAACTTTTCACTCTTGGTTGATCGGCTGTCCCGCCCGGGTTTTTGTTCCACAAATTATGATCTGAAATGTGGGATCTTAGCCGAAAGTAGACCTTCAGAGTGAACCAGAGTGGGATCTTACGGGTGACTTTTGTAGAGTAAAAATTCTGTTTTCTTAAAACAGTGGGATCTTAAGCGAACCGGGATCGTAAGCGATGGGATCTTAGGCAGAGACATCTGTAAAACTTTAAACAGGTTCAACTGTAGGTTTCATAAGGGAAAAGATTAGGCAGGTTACTAAAGAATAACACACACACACACACGAAAGAGAAAAAAAGGAGGAGAGATTTATAAGGATGACAGACGTTTGATAGGAAAAAAGGAGCGAACCACACCAGTGCACTCACAAGCCACTTATGTAGGCCTACTACACCGTTCAATTTTAGTAAGAGTTTTACGGCACTTGCAACACAAACAAATTACCTGTATTACCTGTCCTGAGCAACGTCATTGTGCACAGGTCCATAAGGGCTCAGTTCCCCCCAGCACCAAAGCCCACAAGGTATCCATACTGATTGTTCCGGTGGCTGTCTGATTATGGCGACGTCTTTCCTTTCCAGATAATCGTTCCTTTCTTCCTTCTCCCCTCTCTATCCCCATTTCCTGCATCCTAATGACTGCGTGGTGTTCTGCTGTCTCCCTGTCTTCTTCATCCCGCAACTTTTCCTCCAGGGTCTTCAACACTTCTCAACACAAATAAATAGGTCCTGTAAGTGCCGCACCCACATAGCGTACTCACCAGAGGTCCCTGCTGGGTCAAGGGGTCAAAAGGGTCACCGACAGAACGGTTCTGCACCAGCTCCCGTGACTTCTCCACAAACTTGTCGTAGATCTCTTCCTGCACGAAGGTGCGCGATCCGGCGCAACAGTTCTGCCCGTGGTTGTACATGATGGCACCGTGGGCGCATGTGGCCGCGTAGTCCACTGGAAGACAGACAAACAAAACAAAACTGTCACTACGTTAACTCAAAACTGTCACTAACTTGACTCTGTCACTTCCGAGAGCCATCAGTATAACCCCCAACACTGGACCGTTAGCCGTGTCTCACTGCTCACCACTTCTTGCTTAAAAACCAAACCTACTTTTGTAACAATCCAAACAGAAATCTCAGGCTGAAGAAGGATTGTTTCTAACAACACGTTGAGAATGGTCATTATTTCCCCTTTATTTTCATATATTTAAAATACACGTGGTAAATATTGAAAATTGAACTTAAAATTTTTAATTTGTCCTACAGTGGTCAGAATCAGAAAGTAGGTCACAGATAGGGCCTGGCCCAAGTGAGGAAAACTCCCTGGTGGTGAAAGAGTTAAGACAAAAAAAGAGAGGGTGGTTGGCACTTAGTCCACAGGCAGACAAGCCTGTCCTTAGAGAAAGTTGCATTTGAAAATAGAAAAAGTTGCAAAAAGTTGCAAGAAAAATCAACAAAAGTTGCAAGACGTGTGTAGCTAAAGATGTCATGGAATTTTTGGAATACACTGTTGGTATGCTCATTGCATTCAAAGTAACCAACGTGAGTTTTGTTAGATCAAAATCAAAAGTTAAATGTGAATGTCTACGGTACCAAAAAAAATAAAAATAAATAAACCGGCTTGGAAGTTGTACAGTGGAAACCATAAAACAGGCCCGGAAATAACAGGGATCCGGTAATAATAGGG